GTCTCTCAAAATTGCTGCAGCTATTTGGGGTTGTTTATGGTTTCATTAAATTTCTGAAATGTTTGTTCTCTATCTGTGAAATATGTCATTGGTACTGTAATAAGGATTTCATTGAATCTATAAATTGCTTTGCGTAGTATGGACATTTAATGATGTTAATTCTTCCAAACCATGAGCAGAGTACATGCTTCCTTTTGTTTGTGTCTTCCTTAATTTCTTTCTTCAGTATTATATAGTTTTCTGAGTACATGTCTTTTACCTCCTTGGTTAGGTTTATTCCTAGGTACTTTACTTTTTCTTGTTGCTATATCAAATAGGATTATTTTCCTGATTTCGTGTCTGATATTTCATTGTTGGTGTACACAAATGCCTTTTATTTCTGAATATTGACTTTGTATCCCACTGTTTTGCCAAAATCATGTATTAGGTTGAGTACATTTTTGGTGGAGTCTGTAGATTTTCTGTGTACACTATCATGTCATCTGCAAACAATGACAATTTTGTTCCCTCCTCTCCAATTTGGATGCATTTATTTCTTTTTCTTGTCCAAATGTTGTGGCTAGGATTTCCAAAATTATGTTGAATAGAAGTGGTGAAAGCAAGCATCCTTGTCTTGTTCCTGATCTTAGTGGGAGAGCATTAGTTTTTACCCATTGAGTATGATGTTGGCTGTAGGTCTCTCATATGTGGCCTTTATTATGTTGAGGAATGTTTCTTCTATTCCCACTTTGCTGAGTGTTTGTATCATAAATGGGTGCTGTACCTTGTCAAAGACTTTTTCCACATCTATTGTTATGATCATGTGACTTTTGTCTTTCATTTTTTTATGTGATGTATTACATTTACTGATTCATGAATATTTTACCATCCTTGCATCCCTGGAATGAATCCCACTTGACCATGATCTATGATCTTTTTAATGTATTGCTGGATGCAGTTTGCCAATATTTTGTTGAGGAATTTAGCATCTGTGTTCATCAACAATACTGCCCTGAAGTTTTCTTTCTTTGTTGTGTCTTTATCTGGTTTTGGGATTAGGATGATGTTGCCTTCATAAAAAGAGTTTGGGAGTCTTCCATCTTCTTGAAGTTTTGGGAATAATCTGTGAAGGATAGGGCTTAGCTCTTCCTTAAATTCTTTGTAGAATTCTCCTGTGAAACCATCCAGTCATGGGCTTTTGTGTGTTGGAAGCTTTTTGATTACTGCTTCAATTTCATCAGATGTTATTGGTCTGTTCAGGCTTTCTGCTGCTGCTTTACTGAGTTTTGGAAGATTCTATTTTTCTAGAAATTTCTCCATTTCACCTAGGTTTTCAAATTTCTTGGCATATAGTTCTTCATAGTAATTTCTTACAATCCTTTGTATTTCTGTGGTGTCAATTGTAATCTCTCCTCTTTGATTTCTGATTGTGTTTATTTGGGTCCTCTCTCTTTTTTTCTTGATGACTCTGCTTAAAGGCTTGTCAATTTTATCTTTTCAAAGAACCAGCTCCTGGATTCATTGATCCTTAGAATTGTGCTTTTAGTCTCTATGTCATTTAATTCTGCTCTGACCTTGGTTATTTCCTTCCTTCTGCTTGTTCTGGGCTGTCTTTGTTGTTCCTCAAGTTCTTGTAGACGTAGGGTAAGGTTGTTTGTTTGAAATGTTTCTATTTTTTTTTTTTAGGTAAGCCTGTATAGCTATGAAATTTCCTTTCAAGACTGTCTTCACTGTGTCCTATAAGTTTTGGGTTGCTGTGAGTTCATTTTTGTTTGTTTCCAGAAATTTTTTTATTTCTTTCCTCATTTCATTCTTGACCCATTCATTGTTTAGTAGCATGGTATTCAATCTCCATGATTTTGAGTGTTTTGGGTTTTTTTCCTTGAGGTTGGTTTCTAGTTTCAGTCCTTTGTGGCTGGAGAAAATCCTTGATATGATTTCAATTTTCCTGAATTTGTTGAGGTTTGTTTTGTGTCCTATCTTGTGGTCTATCTTTGAAAGTGTTCCATGTGCGTTTGAAAAGAGTGTTTATTTTGCTTCTTTGGGATGAAAGGCTCTCTCTATATATCAGTTAAGTCCATTTCCTCTAGGGCATTGTTCAATGCCACAATGTCTTTGTTGATACTTTGTTTGGAAGATCTGTCCATTTTTGACAGTGGGGTGTTAAAATCCCCTACTATAATTGTGTTGCTGTCAATATCTTTCCTGATGTCCTCCAAGATTTTCTTTATATACTTGGGTGCTCCTATGTTGGATGCATATATATTTACAATGTTTGTATCTTATTGATGGATTCTTCCTTTAAGTATTATGAAGTTACCTGCTGGGTCTCCTTTTATGGCTCTTTTTTTGAAGTCTGTTTTGTCTGATATGAGTATTCCTAACCCAGCTTTTTTTTCTTATTTGCTTGGAATATTTGCTTCCAGTCGTTCACTTTCAGTATGTGAAGGTCTTTTTTTTCTGACGTGGGTGTCTTGTAGGCAGTGTATGTGTAATTCATGATTTCTTATCCATTCAGCTATTCTATATCTTTTGATTCGGGCATTTAATTCATTTATGTTTAAGGTTATTATTGATAGGTACTTATCATTGCCCATTTTTTTGTACCTTTGTTCCTCTCTTTCACTGTTTTTCTTCCTCTTCTTAAAGCAGACCCTTTAGCATCTCTTGCAGAGCTGGTTTGGAAGAGGTATGTTCTTTGAGGCTTCTTTTATCCAGGAAGCTCCTTATTTGGCCTTGCATTTTAATTGAGAGCCTTGCTGGGTAAAGTAGTCCTGGTTGCAGGTCTCTGGTTTTCATTACTTGGGATGTTTCTTTGCCATTCCCTTCTGGCTTGGAGTGTTTCCATTGAGAAGTTAGCTGCTAGCCTTATCGGGGCTCTCTTTGTATGTTACTTCATGTTTCTCCCTTGTTGCCTTTAAGGTTCTCTCTTTGTCTTGGAATTTTTCCATTTTAATTATGATGTGTCTTGAAGTGGGCCTCTTTGGGTTCCTTTTGATTGAAACTCTCTGTGTTTCCTGGATTTGGGTGAGTTTTTCTCTCATCAAATTGGGGGATTTTTCCATCATTACTTTCCGGACACATTTTCTGTCCTTTGCTGTTCTTCTTCTCCTTCTAGTGTCCCTTTTATATGGATATTGTTACATTTCATATTGTGCTGCATTTCCCTTAAACCCTGTTCATTCTTCTGAGCCTCTTCCTTTTCTTGCTCTTTCTAGGTGTTTTTTTCTACCTTGTCCTCCAGCTCACTGATCTGATCCTCTGCTTCATCAAGCCTGCTTTTGATTCCTTCTACTGTGTTCTTCAGGTCAGAAATTGTCTTCTTCATTTCCTATTGGCCTTAGTTGATAGTTTCTATTTCTTTTTTCATGTTGATATAGTTTGCAGTGAATTCCTTGTAGTCTCCTTGTAGTTTTTGGTAACTGTTTGTGAACTCATTGAGCTTCCTGGTAACCATTGCATTGAACTCAATATCTGATCGTTGAGTTGCCTCTATTTCATGAGTAGCATTCTTTCCTTTCACTTGGGAATTATTTCTTTGTCTCCCCATTGTTTGTGAGACTCTTCTTGTTAGCCTCTACTTCTTAAATTGATCTGTTTGGACTCCCTGGGTTTCTGGTATGAACTTCTATGGTAGAAAATACGTGAGATTCAGTGGTGCAGTCTCCTTGATCTCCTGAACTTGCTGGTCTTGGGCTGTGTTTATGTTGGCTCTCTGTATGTCTTTGGGTTTTGATGGTTGTTGGGTCTTTCTTTGGTGGGTCCTGCCCTACAGCTGATTAACTGAGGGTCACTCCATCCACCACATCTTGTATTCTGTTGTGCAGGTATGGACAGGTTGTGTTGAAGCTGGTTCTTCTGTCTGTACATGTTTTTGAGGGTTCTCATTCTTATTCAGTTGTTTTTTCTGGGTTATTTTACCACCACTTAGTTGTATTTCCAGATTGGTCCTGGGTTGAGATTAGTGTGGCTTCCACTCCCTCCTTTACCTTCTTCCATTTTTATTTGTTGGTGGTTCCTTTGTTGGTGGGTTTCCTCTTCCAACCATTTTAAAAACGATAGAATAACAGTTCCAAATTCATAATTATGAAGCCAGCACTATTCTGCATGAAAAGGAAAGGGTCCTCAGGAGAAAACAATCCAGCCCACTACCTGATCTCAAAATTTGAGGTTCCACAACTAGGTTGTGCGTTCAATCCCTGATAAGGGAGAGTATACAAAAAGCAAGTGATCAATGTTTCTCTCTCACATTGATGTTTTTGGTGTCTCTGTTTCTCTCTCTCTTCCTCCCTCTCCGGGGTTCCAGCAAAAGCAGGAGCAGATTCACGTGGAGATGCCTGAGGAGACACTGGGGATGGAAGCATTGTGGAGAATGTAGAGAGAGTACCCACAGGGAACCCAGTGCTATTACAATGACCTTAAAGTAAACTGCAAAATATAGAGGGTTGCCACAAGTAGTTTTGAAGTTCTTTGTGCAAAAGATAGCACAATAATTAATAAATAATAATACAAAAACAAACTGTTTTGCATACTCACAACTGTAAACTATATTTAAGCAGTCACAGGCTGGATTCATTTTCTTATCATTGTCTGCCTGTATCCCACTGAAAAAAGCAGGGTAACCTCTCTGGCCCAGCCTCCACCTGCCCTCATCAACCTCCATGCCTCAGCTGTCCAGCTCTGTCATCCTTTTCAATTGCAGATTCTGACTTTCTAGAGTTCCCAAACCATCACCTTTTTAACAACAAGGACCTTCCTCTTGATCTTTTGTTTATTGTGTACACATAAATTTTTAAATGTCCCTTTCAGAGTGAAATCTTCATGTAAGTTGATTCTTTTAGCAGTCTATTTAAATTGTGCTTTTTTTCCCACATAGAATATGTTAAAAAAGGAAAATAGGTGAAAAAGATTCCCAGACTTAAAAAAAGCCAATATTGTAACTACAAATTGAAATTTGATGATATTGAGTGTTAATCTTCATTATCCACTGCTTCTTTATGTTTCTTTACTCCTGTTCACAGAGAGGAAGAGACGAAGTTTGGAGCTAATCCCTCTGACTGCCAAAATGGTGATGGCCCACCTGGTGAACCACCTGGGACACTTCCCCCTCCATGGGGGCCCAGCTGTACTGCATAGCCTGGTCAGCGAGAATCATGACAACATGCCTGTGGAAGTTTCTGAGCTTTCCTCCGAGGTGTTCAGGAGTCCAAACTTACAGTTGTTTGTATTTAATGATAGCACCCTCATCTCCTACCTTCAGACACCCACAGAAGGAATGGCAGGCAGCTCACCAGTGGGCACCCTCTCAGACGTGAGGGTAATTGTGAGGGACATCTCAGGAAAGTACTGCTGGGATGGGAAGGTTTTGTATGGACATTTAGAAGGCTGCTTAACACCCAACAACAGAAATCCTTCATTTCTGATTTCGAGCTGGCATCATCAACCATTTGGACCTCAGAGAGATTTTTCTCAGACTGAGGAGGGAGATGATGTCCTTGATAAATTACTTGAAAACATTGGCCACACTAGTCCTGAATGTCTTTTACCATCACAGCTAAATCTAAATGAGCCTTCCCCACCCCCACTTGGAATGAACCGTGACCAAGAGAAGGAAATCATCAAGGTCATTTTGCACCAGAATGCACAAGAAGATGAGTATGTTCAGAGGGGTAACTCTGATTCGGCCCTGAGAGTCCCCAGCCAGGAGCAGCCCTCACCAGTGGAACCCCAGGGACCCTTTTATTTTTGCAGGTTGTTGCTTGATGAGTTGGGAATGAATTCTTGGGACAGAAGGTAACAATTCGCTCTACACCTTTAACTATTTTGTTGTTATTTTTGTGTGATTATTATTCCTTATCAAATTGGAGTTTGGGAAGCAGAGAATAGAAAGGGAAATTTTTCTCTTTTTTACAACTTTCTGCTGCTAAATTAAAGCTAGAAACTTTGCTATACTGATGCACAGATTGATTCCAAACATCTGGTGTATATTTTAAAGGGCATCAAACATTTTAAATGAAAGACAGCATGACACAGGAGTTCAAGAGGAACAGTTAAATCCAATGGAAAGTATGATTCAATGGAGAAGACTTTGTGGAAGGGGGTGTATATGAGCTGGAACCTGACAATGGAGTAGAATGTTTAAGGACAGAGGTAGGGGAAAGAGGTTATTAGCAGAGCCAACAGTGAAAAAACAGGCACAAGCACACAAGTCATATACTCACCATAGAGCCATCCAGTGTCACTGGATAGCAATGGAATGCGAAGGAATTTTGCTACCTTTGAGTGTCGTAAGGAGAATAGAGTTCATTCTGTGGCTGTGATTGCAAATCTTTTGTTCATGCAGGGGATGGGTAGATGGGTGAATGGATGGATGATAGGGAAGTTTGTCAGTTGATTGACTAGAAATGGAAAAATTGGTCTATGATTACATGACTTTTCTTCCATCCCTTTTTCTTTATAGGAAGAATTTTCATCTGTTGAAGAAAAATTCAAAATTATTGAGAGAGCTAAAAAATCTAGACTCCCGTCAGTGGTACGTGAAAATTTATGACACCAATTTATTCCCTCCTGTCTTTGTGTGTCTTAGATCAGGGGTCACCAACCCCAGGCCATGGACCAGTATTTTTGTCCATGGCCTGTTAGGAACCAGGCCACACAGCAGGAGCTGAATGGTGGGCTACAAGCAAGCAAAGCTTCATCTCTGTTGACAGCTGCTCCCCATCACTCGCATTACCACCTGAGTTCTGCCTCCTGTCAGATCAGCAGTGGCATTAGATTCTCATAGGAGCCTGAACCCTACTGTGAACTGTGCATGCAAGAGATCTAGGTTGTGTGCTCCTTATGAGAATCTAATGCCTGATGATCTGAGGTGGAGCTGAGGCAGTGATGCTAGTGCTGGGGAGCGGCTGCAAATACCGATTATCACTAGCAGAGAGGTTTAACTGTGCAGAGACTATTCTAAAACCATCTCCCCGACCCCCAGGCTCCAGTCCTTGGAAAAATTCTTTCACAAAACTGGTCTCTGGTTCCGAAAAAAGGTTGGTGACTACTGTCTTAGATGATAGATAACGGCTGCAGGACTATAGATGACTATACCTGCAGAAAACCCAAGGGTAGTTCTGTAACACAGAATCTGGTGACATTTGCACATGTCATTCTTTTGGTGTTTTTACCCTTGAGGAATAAGCTTACATACTTGCTTACACTAAAAAGAGGTTGGCGCTCCCACCTAATCTGTGCTTTTCATGTAGTAGCCAATGGCCATTTATTCTAATTTAATCTCTGCAACCATCTTTCTTTCTGATGAAGAAGAGAGCCTTAGCTAGGCCAAATGTCTTTCCTATGCTCTCACAATTGTGTTGCTTGAAGCAAGTGAGTCTGACTTCTTACCCCATGCTGTGTACTGATGCACTGGTATTCTGCAGTTTGTGCTCTACAGTGTTAGGAAGGATAAAATCAATTTGTTGTAATTGGTAACTTCCTAACAGTAAGCCTCATTTTCCAAAGCTGGTCAAATCTCAGTTCTCCCTCTTTTTCAAACAATCTTAGACACAGTTCTAAAAATAGCTCACAACCAGTTTTTTTATTTTGGGAAATGACTGCTTCCAAAAAACATCACAGTGAAGTAAATATAATACTTGGTACATAACAGCTACTCAAAAATCTTGAACAAACTACTTCCTTAATCTTTAGTTTTTAAAATATTCATTTAAAAAATGTCTTTTGTTCCTCTTTTATTCTCTTTAAGAATATCATTAGGTCTCCCATTGGGACTTGAAAAACCTGAAGCCGTTATTCCTTGCATTGACCCTCATCATATTCAGTTTCCCAGTTGTTGTTGTGCTTCTTTTTCTCTAGAAGAATAGAGGCTGAATTCTCTTGGAAATTCTGTGAGGAACGTTTTCTGAAGGACTTAGGGATTCACTGTCCTCTCCCTTTCATCTTCCAGTATTAAATAAGCAGTCACTTGGGTTCCAAACCCTGCTTTTCAAGCATATGCTGAATTACTTCGTGCTTCTTAGTATTAAGTGAATACATTGGTATCTTCTGAGTGTTACTGAACTTTAATTGCATGAGGTACAATTGATTTAGCTCCTTGGGGTACTGTTGCAGTAAATACAGTTTTGGACAGCTGACTGGCAAATCCTCTGCCCCTTGATTAAAACCCCAACTCCTCTGCCTTCCACTTAAAATCCCAACTCCTGGTGCCTTCTTGACATCATAAAAGTGTCAACTTACTTTATGGTAAAGGGTGTTTTCAAGGTTTTGTTTGTTTTTTTTTTTTAAGTGGAAATAAGTCAGTACTCTTCAGCTATGAGAAATATAGACTGTAGCATATATTGGTCAGTTAGCATGTAACATACCTTGTTCCTCAACTTTCAATTCAGATGTTTTTATTTATTTCTGTTATCAGTTTCTCTCTATGCTGTCAAGGCATAGTTCTTAGCATGTACTTAGGAAAAGTAGAGGCTGTCTTGCAATCATTTATATCCTTTATATACTGTGAAGTTAGCAAAGATGTAAATAGTGTGATGACTGTACATACAAATTATACTGAGTTTCCCCTTTTAAATATTAATGCCTCTTGTCACCACATGGTAAGGTGAAGATTAAAATTGTTTCTTCTTTAGCTTTTTAATGTGACAGCATAGGGAAATTGGTCTATTTCTGGTCTATTTCTATTCTGGTCTATTTCTAATAAGGAAGAAAAATGCATTCTAATGAAGAAGAGGAAATGGTTGATATTATGTATGTGTATTCTTGATTTACCTGCTCCTTCATGCATGGGTCCTGCAGCTTATGGATATGAAGTGCTGTTGATGTTGCTAATTATCATTTCAAAACCCTGGCTCTCATAAGGCCAAACAACAGCTTCTGCATCCATGCATGCTCTCTGTGGTGCTAACATTTTGGAGGATGTGAAACTTGATTAATGTTCATAGCTAAAGGTCACCTTTCCTCACACCTATATCAGGCAGGCAGTTATTGGGGCTTAGCTCCTTTGTGCTCCCACATTTAGTTAATGAGGACTCAAGGATATGTGAGCAGCTATAATGTAAAAGGTTTGGAGTTTAAGGAGAATGAACAAAAACATTTCAGATAAACCTAAGATTGTTTTCATGTATGCAAAGTACATAGAATAGAGAAAAAATAAATACTGAGTTCTTTTAAATATAGAGAGAGAGCTGCCAAAAGAAATTAAGTAACTATTTTCTTCTTTGTTGAAAGACACAGTCTTTTAGGTCATGGTTATGGTCTCTAGTATCATCTGAGGCCCCAAATTATTATATCTCTGAGAATAAGGGAGTCATATTCTAGGCTGTGTATATACCCTGCTTGTCACTCAGGGACTAAATGGTGTTACCTTCAGAACTTTACACTGCATGAGGACAAGTTTACTGACAGGCTGGGAGCACACGATCTATACTAAAGCACTGAGTCCCAGGGATCCGTCCCCACAAAACTCACCTCTCTTTATAACACCTGTTCTCATCAAGAGAGGCACCCCTAAGAATGTGCTCATGCCACACCAGTTAGGGTGTTCAGATTGTCCACCTTCTCCAGTGGCAGCAGGACAGTGCACATCAAAAGCCTTAAAAATGGTCAGTGTTCAAGATTCTATTTGTATGAATTTATTTTAAGGACATATCAAAGACAATGAGAAAATGTCTCTAAAAATGGAAGCAACCTAAATGTCCTAGAATGAGGATTTGGTATGTAGTATATTAATACAATGGAATGCTATAACACCATTAAATAACTTGGTTACAGAAGCACATAGTAGTAAAGTGTTCACACTAAAAAATGGTTCAAATGGAGAGTTGAATGTTATGTATATTTTGTACAATAAAGTGTTCATAAATATAAGTGAAAAATCAGTTACAAAATACAATGTGGTAGCTGCTCATTTTTTGTACAAAAACAGTAACAGTTAATGTTCTTTGCTTATATATTCAGATAACAACTTTTTGTAATTTTTTGTGAAATTTTGTGGTTTGCCTTGTATGTTTATTACATGTAAACTATGGGGGTAGAAATGAATAAGCTGTCTGGATAAGTATGAGAGAACTCTCCTCCATTTATTTATATGGCTTTTTGGTTGAATTTTAATTCAGTCTGATTGGTAGTAAAACAGACAAACAAAAACAAACTTCGGAAGGACATGCTTGAGAATGTCCTTGAGAATAAAATATGAAGCCCAAATTCCACCAATATGGATGTCTATAACACGATTACAATGTTGAGATATTAAACAGACAACAGAAACATTTTCATATTGTTTATGCACTTAATAGTTTTTTTCTATGAGATCTTTCAGAATGCAATGCAAAAATGAGAGGGATGGAACTACTACAGAAGTGGTGATTCAAATTTTAGAAGATAAAAACTAGAGTAAAATAAAACTCTTAAATGATGAGAGTGTGGAATGAACGATTCTTGATTAAACCACTGTTTCAGTGAGAACCATGTTTTCATCTCTAAACTGTTACCAAATTGCTTGGTATAGATCCAGTTATTTTGACACTTTAGAGTGTAATTTGTAGAAATTGGTCACTAATACATTTAAATATATCATATCTCTGGTCAGTTCACCAGAGATTTAACTGGGCACCTTTCCTCAAGGCACATATTATGTTTACTAGATTTAACAGTAACATGGCCAAAACCCATCATGGAAAAAGTGGATGAAATGTCTATATGGCCTAAGAGGTTTCCCTCTACAGCTATTCACCCTACCAGGCACCGTCAGATTAGTCAGAGCATGAAATGGATATACCCCCTCACAAAGAAAGTATCTAAGTGTGTTCTCCTTGGAAGAAATTTGTGTTTTTCATAAAGTTTTGTGTGAGGCATGTTCTACAGTTCCAGTCATAGAACTATCCAGTATCCCTAGCTCAAAGTTTATAAATAATGAAATGTGGGTAGGAACATGGATCTATTCACAATTGATATCCATTTAAAATGCTTTCAAATGTATTTTCTGCCGAAAGTAGAGAGAACTTGTCAATGTGTTGTAACATGCTGTTAAATATGCCATATGTCTTTAGAGAGTGATCTCAAGAACTAGACTTCCTGCTTCAATTCCCAGTCTCCAGCTTGGTGTATGTGCTTTTTAAAAACTTTCTGTGTCTCCTTTCAACCACCTCTACATGGAGGTGACGATGATAATGCTTACCTCATTAGGGTAGTTGCAAAGAGTAAATGAGATCATGTGTGGAACCTTTATAGAATAGTGACTGACCCCTAGTAATTTCTTAGTAAATGTAAGCTCTATAGTAGAAGTCATGCCGGTGGTAGTAGTAAAATAAAATTTTATATATAAGAATTCTCACTCCTTTAAATTTAAAAATTTGTAGCCGTGAAACGCATAAAATTGCAGTGTTTTACATTGCTGAAGGTCAAGAAGACAAGTGTTCAATCCTTTCCAATGACAAAGGAAGCCAAGCATATGAAGAGTTTGTTGCTGGACTTGGATGGGAGGTAATTCATTTCATTTAATAGGTATTTGTTGACCAGCACTATTTGAAGATGTATATAAACTATACTACTTGTTTGTACAGGTAATCAATTACCTGATTGATTACCTGTGTTTTTACATATGTATTTTACATTCAACTATAGCATGAGTAGAGTTCTGGAGTTAAAGAATGTATTGAATTTAATATCTTCTACTAGGTATTTAGTACATACATGAACTTTTATTTCCCCTTAGCTTTCCTTTTAACATTATTTCATTTGCTCTTTATTAGAACTGAATGAATAGTCAGATCAGGTCAGATCAGCTCACATCAGTTCACCCAGCCATAGACAGTTTGTAGTAAGAGAAGGCAAATATGGGCAGAGAAGCAATGGTTTTGGCCACATTATGGAGAATGGAGAAGAAATCAATGACGTGATGGGTGAAACAGTAAAGAATTGACTGAAGTCAAAAGTTGGAATGAAAATAGAATATAGTAGCTGTGATGGTTTAGCTTTCAACCTGTTTTTCTAGGATAGATCCCGGGATGACAAATAATGAAAAAATATGTTCTTTTTGTTTTTTTTTAACTAAATGATACTCTGACACACAGAAATGTATACATTTTTCCATATGTGTGCATATGCATATGTCTGTTCCCAGAAACACAATCTAAAGAAAAATATATTCCCATAATCTAAAAGAATTCAGAGTAATTAAAATGAAAATCAGCATATCTGAAATAATTTTTCTTACTACTTTTGTTTTGGTTTCTTGGTTATTTGTGCTGTGAGAAACTCCCTGGGTGTACAAGAAAGACTTGTTTCTGAGAGATGAGGTTAACAAGGAGACTGATATGGAGGTGGGGACAGGGTATTAGTACTTCAAGACAATGTACTTTCTGAAAGGTCAAGTAGGTCTTGGTCTAAGAGAGTTGTTACACTTCTAACAAATAATTATTCTTTTTACTAATAAGGTTACATCTTTGTTATGCAAAATACTTAACTAATAGGTTTTTGAAAAAGTAATTAGATTAATTCTTAACTAGAGTTTTAACAAAAGATCAGAAAATTAGTTAATTCAGTGTATTTATTGGTTGTATTTGGCAAGAAGAGATTCTTCTGGTTTTTCCTTATTATCTTTGAATAGTTGCTTTACTTAAAAGAATACTAGTTTATGAAAATTTAAAAAACAAATCTAGGCACTAAGAAGTAAACATTCATACCATAGCTTAAAAAAATATATGACTCCCAGCCAAGATGGAGGCATAGGTGGACACACTGTGCCTCCTCGCACAACCAAAATTAAGGACAACAAAAATTTAGAAACAAAAAAAACAACCAGAACAGACAGAAAATTTAACTGTATGGAAGTCCCAACAACCATTCATCCGGACTGGTAAGAGGGGTGGAGTCGGTGGCCAGTGGAGAGGGGTCACAGCAGAAAAAAGTGGTGGCTGGCAGACCCTGGTGGCAGACCCCAGTCACAGGCATGAGGCGGCAACAAGCAGACCCAGTGAGGCACACAAGGCAGCTGGCTGTCCTCAGTCACACATTCGCTCGCAGATAAACCAGGTGAAAACGGGCAGTGAGACAGATCGTGCAACCCAGGGTGCCAGCACCAGGAAATAAAGCCTAAAAGTACTGATTGAAAACACTTGTGGAGGTTGAGGTACAGGGAGAGACTCCCAGCCTCACAGGAGAGTTCAATGGAGAGACGAACAGGGTCCAAGAACATACACAAGCCCACCCACCCAGGAACCTGCACCAGAAGGTCCAATTTGCTTGTGGGAAGTGGCAGAAGGGACTGAAATCCGACAGAGAGCAGAGCAAGCACCATTGTTCCCTCTCTGAGGCCACCCCCACATACAGCATCACAACCCAGCAACTGGGTTGCCATCCCCAAGGGAACTCCTAAGGCTCTGCCCCTCACTACAATAACAGGTGCGACCAGACCCAAAAAAAAAAAAAAACAAAAAGGCTCAAAGGGAAGAACAAATCAAAGCTCCAAAGCCAATACTTTCAAGAGACCAAGAGATCTCCAACCTATCAGATTCACTGTTCAAAGCACTGGTGATCAGCATGCTCACAGAATTGGTTGATTTTAGTCACAAATTAGATGAAAAAATGAAGGCTACACTAAGTGAAATGAAGAAAAATACACAGGGAACCAGTAGTGATGGAAAGAAAATTGGTTTTCAAATCAATGGAGTGGACCAGAAGGAAGAAAGAAACATCCAATCAGAAAAGAATGAAATAAGAATTCAAAAAAGTGAGAAGAGGCTTACGAACCTCCAGGACATCTTTAAATGTTCCAACATCCAAATTATAGGGATACCAGAAGAAGAGGAAGAGCAACAAGTGGAAAAATTATTTGAACAAATAATAAAGGAGAACTTCCCCAGTCTGGCAAAGGAAATAGACTTCCAGGAAGTCCAGGAAGCTCAGAGAGTCCCAAAGAAGTTGGACCCAAGGAGGAACACACCAAGGCACATCATAATTACATTACCCAAAATTAAAATGAAGGAGAGAATTCTAGAAGCAGGAAGAGATAAGAGAACAGTCACCTACAAAGGAGTTCCCATCAGAATGTCAGCTGATTTCTCGAAAGTTATCTTACAGGCAAGAAGGGGCTGGAAAGAAGTATTCTAAGTCATGAAAGGTAAGGATCTACATCCAAGATTGCTCTATCCAGCAAAGCTTTCATTTAGAATGGAAGGGCAGATAAAGTGCTTCTCAGATAACGTCAAGTTAAAGGAGTTCATCATCAGCAAGGCCTTATATGAAATGTTAAAGGGACTTACCTACCAAAAAGAAGATAGAAAACAGGTACAGTAAAGTGACAACAAACTCACAGTTATTAACAACCACATCTAAAACAAAAGCAATCTAAGCAAACAACTAGAACAGGAACAGAACCCCAGAAATGGAGATCACATGGAGGGATAGCAACAGGGGAGTGGGAGGAGGAGAGAGGGGAAAAGGTACAGAGAATAAGTAGCATAGATGGTAGGTAGGAAATAGACAGGGGGAGGGCAAGAATTGTATGGGAATGTAGAAGCCAGAGAACTTATGACATATGGACATGATCTAAAGGGGGGGAATGTGGGTGGGAAGGGTTGTAGGGTGGAGGGGAGTGAAGGGGGGGAAATGGGACAACTGTAATAGCATAATCAATAAAATATATTAAAAAAAGAATATGACTCGGTCTTTTGGCAGTGGTGTAAATTAGAACAACCCCTTTAAAAGGCAGTTTAGCAATTACTGTTAAATTTTGAAACACCTGTACCCTTTGACACAACATCCTGTAGAAATACTGCTTTTAATCATCCTCAGGTTTAACCAGCAGAAAAGTCTGTAAAACCATCAATAGGGAAAGTGTGTGTGTGTGTGTGTGTGTGTGTGTACACCTAGATACATAAATATACACCTACATATATACACATATGTAGAGAATGAGAAAAGTTAGAGAAATATACAGCTGTCCAGAATGTCCAGAAATATACACATGTCCAGAATGAGAAAAGTTAGAGAAATATACAGCTAATTTTTAATAATTGGTAGGATTATAGAATACTTTCATTGTTAATGTTTCTTTAATATTTTAATTTTGTCTAACTTTGGTTTTATCAGAAAGCTATAGAAATGAACATAGTTGGATATTTTGAAAATCCATGTTCCTACTTAGTGAATAAGAACAGCTGTTTAACCCTGATTCATTTTTCCCTTTGTGACCTGTATCAGGTGGATCTCTCCACCCACTGCGGATTCATGGGTGGACTTCAGCGCAATGGCAGCACAGGACAGACTGCTCCTTACTATGCTACCTCGACTGTCGAAGTGATTTTCCACGTTTCCACTCGGATGCCATCAGACTCAGATGATTCACTCACCAAAAAGGTAAGGGGCCCTGGTTTATAGGTGAGGCTCTCCTAGAACTGAACAAAGGCCATGGCATAACATGCATTGAACCAAGTTAATTCTGGATTCAACCTCAGTGTCACTCATCCCAAACTACAGTTGTAGTTAATCTGAAATATCCAGCATATCACAAACCAGATAAAGAAATATGTGAAAAACAATGAGTCATTTGAGTCTTAAATCCTGAGATTAAGAGTTAGGAAAAAGAAGGATCTTAAATGTTAATACTTTTAGATTTTCTGTCACATGACTGTTAACTGATAGTAAGTAATGGTGTTGACCTCTCAGGCTGGCAAAGGTCATAAGATATAATGACACTGTACTGGTGTAGCTCCAAGAAAGCAGGTACCTCTTAGGCTTGCTGTGGGATAATTTGGCAATATCTGTCAAAAGGATAATGCAGGTGTGCTGTTGTCCAGTTGTTATACCTTTGGCACTGTCCTTGTGTTCTCCTTCAAGTTGGCCCTGTGGGCAGTTTTCTCTAGAATTCAAAGGAAATCTTCTTCACCCCTGAGGAAACTGCCCCCCCTTCCTCGGGGTAACATGCCCTGTACTTTCCAATCTGCTGGATGTTCATCTCAGGTGACATTCTGTTAGAAGTAAGAAACACCGTAATAGAAGAAGAATTTTAATTTGGGAGGAAGCCTAGAAATCTGACCCACTCTTGTGAGTTTCCAGATGAGAAGAACTTTGACTAGTCTGCTAGTGAGTGGCAGAACCTGCGATTCCTACCTCACACCCACTGTGTTCCTACACGGATGCAAGGACAGTGCCTGGGTGGGTTGGAGGACAGATGCTGGCCCCCGGGGATGGGGAGTCTGGAGTGGTTCTGATAGCCATAGTCTGGAGACAGATAGATCTGGGCTCAAGTGTTTATCCAGTTACTTTACCAGCCTGTGCCTCAGTTTGCCCATCTGTTAAATGAGATTAAAAACAACCTATGTCACAGGGTTGTTGTGAAGTAAATGTATAATGCCTGCAAAATTGCTTAGCACAATGCCTGGTAAGATTTCTAAACATCAGCTCTCGTCATTATACACCCATTGGTCTAAATTGAGTCTTTTATTCCCCTGCCCCATTAGGCAGATGATTGATATTAGCTGATGGGCCTTACTATATCTGCTTTATTTCTTTCCTCTTCAGTTTTGCTTTTTCACTACAATAGCTCAGATCTCTGGACCACATTCGTGGTGTCTGGCAATGAGTTTGCTAATGAGACCTCCAAACTCAGTTCATGGCCAATCACAGGCAACTCTCACAGTGACAAATTGTCTGGTATGTACAAAGCATGATTGGCTTTCACTTCTTGGCCCACATGCTATCATTGACTCTCACTGGCCATCAACTGGCTCCCACAGATGTGGAGGAACTGCCTCCACGTCTTAGGTTTTGATGGCTGCCCTGGTTGTGGTGTTTTTAGTAAAGGGGACCCTACCCTCAGAGAATCTATTTCAGATTACCAAGATCTCAGGCAGGGCTTACACATTCATTTTATTCACAGTATCATATAATTGCTGCTACTCTGCAAATGTATCACCATAGTTTGTGATTTTATGACTGAAAACTATTTCATTAAAAGATAGATTTATATATAAATTATTTTTAAAAATTACTTCCTAAGTAAAGGAGGATTTTTTTTTGAGAAAAGATTTAGTGTTTTCTTGATAAAATGTCATGTGATAAATAATGTTCCAAGGCGTGGCCTGCCTGAAAGATTCCCTACTGTAATAATCAAAATTCAGCTGATACCTTTTGCAGCTCCAAGATTTAGCATCATTAGTGACAAACTCTCTTTATTAGGATGTCTCACAGCTAGACTAAAAATCAGTCACAATAAGAGCAGCCCACAGTTCCTTGTTTTATTCTAACTAAATTGTTTCTAACAGCTTAAAAATGAGCTGCAAAATTCTAAAGTGTTTCATGCTCTCTTATACCCCTGCCATGGAGGCAGTTTTTCAATTCTGCAATTTGGTTGCAACCCCATACTGAACTCTTGATCCTTCACTACAGAAATTTGTTAGCTCTAGCTAGATTAGATTTTTCACAGCTAATCTAACTGCTGTAGGGGTTTGCAGAGTGGAGACAGATCTGTGCTATTGGATTTGTCCAATTCATTTGACTCCAGGAATATAATTGCACTTATGTCTTACAAGGCTTTTATAGCCTCAGGCTGGCCAGCCACATTAACAAATTGGCAGTGTTACAGTAAAAGTGAAAAGGGATGAAAGGCCCACATTATCAGTCTCCAGGCAGCACTGTTCTGGCAGGAAGTTTCTTGGTTAATTTACAAATAAAACTTAGATTTTAGGATGGGCACACTGTCAACTGAACAATGGGGATGTCAGGCCTGACTGTTACTTAGTAAAAGTAGCAGTCAGGCCCACTGAGGAGCAGGAATTCTTCAATCAAACAGACGACTCCTTCTGGAGCCAGCTGGCGATGTAATGCAATTAGTCGAGAAAGGAGGTCAGCCTTTTAGGTGTGCACCATGACCAGTATCACTAGTGCATGCTGCCTGGCAGCAGCAGGCAGAATGGCCCAGGCTGAGGGACTTTAAAACTCTGTCAGGATGCGAAGTGGCAGGACATGTGCTTGATTTCTTAAGACTTAAGAACTAAGCATTTGTTCTGAGCCTGTTGTACAGCTGAAGTGGAGTTGAAGTGGTATGAATGACAGCTCCATTCTAGGACAAGAATCCTCATTCTCCTCCCAGATTATACACAGGTCACATCACCTTAGGTTGTATGCGCAGAATTCATTGATGAATCTCTGACTAGGGCCTCTAATCCAAAATTTTCAAAACTCATAAAATGACATCTCGATAATGAAGTCCTTTTAAATTGAGCAACACTGAAGTTTCCAGGTTAATTTATTCATTTTACCTACTTGTATTGTCATTGACAGAAGTGGGTGTGTTTCTGCTCTTTGCTCCAGATTTATCAGCCAATTGGTCCTGTGGTCTTAGCTCTTAGTTTTGTGAGTTAACTAGTTAAACTGTGATGTGTGGAGAGGTCTGAGACACATGACATTGAAAGCAGCTTTGAGATGATGAATGTTGTGTTATTATCACACAAAAGTAGCTCTTACTTAATAACAGAATTGCCACATTGGGAGGATGGGTCTATTGGTATGGCACTTTTCTCTCTTACTTTAGTTCTAAAAATACAATTGCAAATAAAATTAGGAAAGACTTACTTGGGTTATACAATTGAGCAACCTAATTTAGAAAAAGGAGAGTAACTGCAGAATTTCAGTAATCACTATGTTACTTCTGAGCTAATGCCTTGCAACATATACTTCTGGATTGACAGGAGAGGTCACACAGAGGGTGTTGGCAATAGGTGACAGCCCCACATTTGAAAGACATTCAGTAGGTGGGTCGATTCTGTTAAGATGTTTGTGCCAGCATTATATCAAGGGCGCAAAACCACCTGGAAGCTTGGCTCTCGTTGCAGGATGAGAAGTATAGGTGTGAGTTCTGGGGAGCCCCAGTTCTCACAATTACCTTCTGCTGGTCTAAATTCTTTCTTAAGTTTCAACTTGATACTATTCATATTTCCCTTGAAAATGCCTTTATTGTGCTGCGGGGCAATGCTGGCTACCATGTTTTCCCTCCAGAAGGATTGCATGTCAGGTGTGTGTTGTAAGGTCCTCGAATGTTTTATGAAAAACAATAAAGAAAAGAAAAATTTAACCTCTAAGATGGAAAGAGAGAAATAAAGATATTCAGTTACTGTGAGAACCCACCGTTTCTTTCCTATTTACTTAATGGATTGCCTGCTACCCTTTTATCCTTCATATGTGGTGGCAGGGCACAGAAGAGAAAATAAAAATATAGTGAATAGTTTTGCATTTAGAAATTTGTAGATAGCATTACATTATCCTGGATATTGTGATTTGTGCTCAGCACCTACATTTGCAGTTGTCCCACAGAGCCCATATTCAGACACAATGAATTTGTGTGCCTCTCACTATAGGTGCAAAGGTACAAACACAAATCTGTTTTTTAAAATTTAACTTGTAAACTTGTTCCCAGAAGTGTGAGAGTGAAGAATAAGAAGGCATTGTAACAGACCAACTTCCTTTGTAATTTTATAAAGGGAAAGGAGGCCATGTTAGCATCACTTCCAGTTTTTCCTTTGTGGTCAAATAGTCTATAAAGAGAGTGATATTTATACTATTATGTTTTAAAAAAGTATTCCAAATCATCCTTTTTTAATATTTTAAGATTAATACATTAGCTTTGACATAACATTTGAATGCCTCTCAACTTAGTCACTTTTAGGGTTCATCTATCAAATATTTAATGTAGGAAGCAAGAAATGCATTTTTAGCCCTGGCTGGTGTAGCTCAGTGGATTGAGCGCGGGCTGTGAACCAAAGCATCGCAGGTTCGATTCCCAGTCAGGGCACATGCCTGGGTTGCAGGCCATGGCCCCCAGCAACTGCACATTGATGTTTCTCTCTCTCTCTCCTTCTCCCTCCCTTCCCTCTTTAAGAAATAAATAAAAATAAAATCTTAAAAAAAAAGAAAAGAAAAGGCTATACATTTTTTAAAAATGTGTTTTCATGGTGGTAGAAAGTGGTATTTGGCAAGTGTGTGAGAGGACTGAAATCTCAAATTTTCAGTAGGTGTCAAAGGGCCTTCACGATTTTAGGACTTCAGTTTTGGCCAACATTTTAATCTTTATGACCTGGTTTATTTTAATTACACTTTCAGGCTTTCTCAGATGATTTCATAGGCTGTTTTCTTCAGCCCAGGACATGTAAGCATTGTGTCAAGAGTTTTATCACAGGTGTCCTTGCATCCGACAGAGCTAAGTCCTAGAACTTAGAAAGGTCTCCTCAGAACAAGAGGAGCCTCCTCAAAACGAGGCTCTGACTTGTTTTTAAATTTTATGGCCTTTCTATGTATAAAATGGTAAACAAGTGAGCTAAACTATTTGAGCTATGACAACACAAATAACTTTTGGTATAGGCTTAGACAGGTGTGAAAAGTAGAAATGGCACTGAATTAAGAGCCCAGCCAAGGTTTCCAGGCCTGCTCTGCCACCCACTGTTCATGCACCTTGGGTAGGTGATGCCTTCGCCTTCCTGAGCCCCATTGCCTCCTTGTTAGATAATGTAAAGATTAAAAAATTATGTATGAACATACTTTCTATACAGTAAGGCACTCTTTAAATAATAATTACTAGTGTCCTTATTACATTTAAGTAATATTTATTAGTTTCTTAAACAAAACTAATTTTAAACATATTTCCTAAAGGTTTATCACAAGTCTAGTTTTATGCATTTGGTAACAATTGTGTTATGATGGCTACATTCTCTTACATTCTTTTTTTCTTAATAACCATTCAACTAAGTCTTATGAAGCTCTATAAATAATATAGAATAAAATACTCATGTCATTAATTATTTACAAACATGTTCAGCAATAAAAGTATAAGGCTTTGATGCAGAAGTAAAATTTAATTTTAAAAAATTCTTTGAAAAGGGCTTGTCCACATCCAGCCACAATGTGATGCTTATGTGCATCATCTTAATACCAAATGTGTTTTTATGGCAGGTGAGCTGTGTGTTCATGCCTTGATGTTCTTTCAAATCCTCATAGAGGACATTGGTGTTGTAGCCTTTTGTGGTAGTAAAATAATTTTTGTCTCTGAGTATTATAATTCAATTTGTAAGCCATGACCCCTAATAAACTGCTTGTTATTACTCTGATTAATAAAGAGCCAATTTGCCATTGCAGCTCCGCCACTTGGGGAATGACGAGGTCCACATTGTCTGGTCTGAACACTCCAGGGACTATCGCAGGGGTATTATCCCAACTGCCTTTGGAGACGTTTCAATCATTATTTACCCAATAAAGAATCACATGTTCTTTATCACGATAAGGAAGAAACCAGAGGTACATTTTCATGTTATTGACTGACTCATATAGCATATGCCATGTGATTACTGTTATTAAAAACAATGATATAAATATGTAAAAGGGGATTTTTTCCCAAGTCATAAATGTCTTACATATATCTGAATTACAAATGTTATAGGAATTAAATATGAATTGGGATTTTCAAAAAATCCATCATGAGCACAGAATTCCATATTTTATTACTTAGCCTTTTTGAAAATATTTTTAAATGTCTCAAATTTTTTAAATTTTGTAATTAAAAAAACTATAATTTTAAATTTGGGGCATTTTGATTAATAATAAGAATTAAATGGATGCCATATCACACCTAGTGTTTTGTGGATGGCTGTGGTTATAGAATTCAACCTTGCACAGTGAGCAGACACTGCTTCTCGAGCCTCCGACTGCTGCTAGCAGGGCTCAGTTCTTAAGGATTATGGGCATGTCCCTGAAGAAGCTGGGCTTCTGTAGCACAGCCCATGTGATGACCTTTAACAGTTGAAGCACCTTGCCACAGAATCAATTCAGCCATGTCAATTGGTATTGATCTTGGGAATAGCTGGAACAATCAGTAGTTATGTGCCATGTGCTAAATTCACTGCAGTTTTGGTCCTTACCATGTCTTTAGTGGTATTTAACTGTGCTTTACATAATGACTTGTTTTTGTTTTGGAATTATTAATAGAAGGGGTTTATAAGTGTTTTAATTAAACATTTGATGTATTAAGTCACTCCTTAAGAAAATGACTTGTGCTTTTTAAGCTCGATATTAAAAATAATCATTTATATTCCAAATTATTCTCCTAAAGTAATTAAAAGTTACCATTCTAAATACTCTCTACTTTTGAGCTTTTAAATAATAGGTATCTGAAATTTTCTGGGATATATAACCTGAAGAGTTAGAGTTAGGAGGATTAAATGAACTAAGAAATGAAAGGTGCTTCAAACAGTCCCTGGCACAGAGTAAAGCTATTTAAATGTTAGTTATTATTATTATTGCCATTATTTTTTGTTATAGTTACTACCATGAAAATAGAATAAATAATGAATCTTAAGTTTAACATGATTATTTCTCAGACTAGATAGATATATTATTCAGCCACTCCTGAATTCAGAATGGTCACATTCTGTCTGATGAGAAACCTGACACAAAGGGAACCCTCTTTTCTATTTAGGGAGCAAAGATGCCCATAGTTTTTTTATGTTAAGTATATGTATTATCTTTGATTCAGGTTTCTGTGTATATGAAGTTTTTGCTTTTTTATAAGAAAATGCTCTTAGTGCTAATAACAGTTTTATTTATGTACAAAGACCACTGCTTCAATTTTAAAAATTAAACTGAAAAGTTTAGTATTAGCCAATCAATAAATTTAGTGCCTGATAGCTTTTATAACTGGAAAATGTGTTTCTTTAATATTTAGTATGGATTCATTTGGCTTTATTAGTTCATTCTCAACCTGCTTCTCTAAAATGTCACTTAATATTTTTAAAAATGTTGACTTTACTTCTATGATATATAAAGAACATAAAAGATAGTATATTTATAATGCATGAAAACAAATATTAACATAACTTTTAAAATTTCTTTTAAAAATATACATAAGTTTTATAAATTTGGTCATAAATTCTGACAAGATGAATTGAGCAAATCACATTCTTAATATTTTAATTTTAAAAGCCTAAAAGGAAGAAGAGAATAATGGTCAACAAAAATTTAGTGTTATCCTATATTTAAAATACAAATCATTACAATGTAATAAAATTAATCCAGACATTTGCAGGGCAAGTGTGGCTGACCTTTTGTTCACCAACTACTGACCCCAGGGTGAATGCAGGAGGCTTGTGGAGGGAAAGTCTGTTTGTTTGGCTTCAGTCCCTGGTATTTAAATTGCATTCCCTAATCAAATGAAAAGGCTGTCCTCTCTATCAGGTTACAGAATCCATGGCAACATTTGGCCTTTTATATCCATAATGTTAGCCTTTTTGTTTGCATCTAAGTAGAGACACCTGGAGCAATGTTAACATTAACCGATTTAGAATTAATAGCTTCATTATATAAGAATTTCTGATCAGATAGCTGTTACTTTTGTTATATTGCTTCAGCTTGTATTGTTGTCATTTTTTATCTCCCTGCTTGGCAACCAGGCAGTGATTTGCAAATTTTTTTTTGTCTTGATTAATTAAGCAATATAATTATCAGTAACCCTGATGCAGTCTTTGCTAAACAAAGCTTCTGGGAGAAAACAATGGTCAGTCTGTTAGTATGAATGCATTCCACGCGTCCCAGATGCATGAGGATATTATGGACAATGAGGGGAAAGGCCGCCTGTGAGCGAGGACAAAGGGTGCCACGCAGACTCAACACACTGTGCATACCGCCAGGGACATGCTGCAGGCTCCTGGGACACAGACGCCTCGTTAGATTACAGCTAGTCAGCAGAGATTAATTCTCAGCCATTTGGTGCAATAATTTAGCCATTCCCTAGTCTTTTAACTAGTGCTCCTTACTATGAAAGTGAAGGCTTTGTAGTCTGAAGGTTTATTTAACCTTGCCTACTTTTAGAGATTGCCACCAAAAATCATTATTTTTGCTTAGAAATTATAATGACACAGCTGCTTGAATTTGAGTAATATTCTTTTGGGAGGATGGGATATGTACAAGTGTCAAAAATTCTGAGTCAAAACCATTCTCTCAGCATCTATATATTTCATTTGAATACAGTGTGACTCAGTGGTCTAAGAGCACTTATTTTACTGGTGTCTGGGAAGCCATACTTCTCTAAGAATAATTTTAATCCTTTTTTAGGAAGAAAGAGAAAACCTCAACAGTACACAAAAGTCCTGCTCATTGGATAGAGTCATGCATATTCAAATTGTACTATTATTCATTCAGCCTCATTAATAGTGTATGTAATAATGTAAGGCTGTTTGTGATACAAGATCATAGGTAGCATTACTTCTAAGTCCTTTGCAATTTAACATATTTCACTTTCATTCCATACACTTCCCTTAAATATACAAATCATGTGTCTGGCAGAATCTGCAACCTCTTATTAATACACAACATTGGGAAATGTTGTCTTGAAGAAATGTGGGTGTGCTTATAATGAGCATATAAAACCCTTACATCCAAAAGGGCCTGTTCACTTCTTGAGCTTTTTACTGAACTTTCTTTTATAAATACATACATACATACATACATACATGCATACCAATGTGCTTAGCAATATTATTTCACTGTGAAATTACTTTCAAAGTAAGTCCATCTTCATAAATATTGACACAATAGTTTTTGGTTACAGAAAAGAAATGTACTGTTGTTAGACTTCCATTTTTTCTACTTTTATTACTAAGTCAGCACTCAGGGAAGACTTGCATATAGAGCAGAATGTAAGTGATTTAAAAGGCTTGTTAAAATACCCAATTTGTTCTGCAGAAAGCTGAATCATAAAGCCTCCATATTGTAGTCAGTGCCCATATTGCTGCCTTCTTTCAGTAAGTGAAAGTAATATTGGTGTTCAAAACATTTGCTTTTATGATTTTGTGAAAGTAAGTTTTAGCACTTTTCACATGTTTTTCTCTAGGCACAGTAGTGACTGGCTGGTGACTATCTAATGGAAGGGTAGAAATGCTGAAGCGACCTTGACCAGCAACAGTTGAAACAAAGGAAAGTTTTGGTGAAGGAGTCTCCTTATCACGTCAACCAGAGTATCATTTTTATAATTGAAAAACATGTTAATGTCCTCCAAATGCTACTTACTCAGACCTGGTAGATATAGATATGGGGAGAAGGGGAGAGGATTTAATCATTCCTGAGAAGTATAGGTAGGAAAAAGTATAGAGTAGGAAATGAGACCGCAAAGTATCTTGGGTAGATCTTTTCCATTTCTTTAGACCTTAGCTTTCTGTCACATTCTCCTTGGGAACCAAATTCTCTTGACAGTCCTTTCAGGGTTTCTTCCTTCAAGACAAAAGGACCATTGCTGGATCTTCTTGTTCCTAGATAGATGCCCATCTTTTCCTAAGTTGTTCCAACTTGCCAGGCTGCTTTTGAGTTAGCATCTGGATCCCTTGCAGACTCAGCAACTATTGTGAGTCAATGTGTATATTTGTACTTCTTCAGGATGACAGCTAGCCCAGGGTCATCACCTGGAGCAAGTGCCCAGAAATGCTCTTTAAGACTAATTAATGCACCAGAAGTCACAATACCATTTGTACATGTGAGGCCAAGAGTAGCCAGAATTGGTATCTGTATTTGAAAGAAAATCTTTTACTACTGTGGCTTCACTATATAAGAGTATGTTTGACTATATCATGGTTATGTAAATTTCTTTTTATTTCAGATGTGCAGTTTTCTTAAATATTTTTCTCATCCCCAACCAAATAATCTTTTTGAGATTAAGTCATTCACTTTAAAAATACTCTGGGAAATTGTCAGGGAAAGTGAGTTGTTAACTACTGAATATGTAAATAACCATTTATTTTGAAAAGGTCATTGCAGATAACCATAATTTACTAAAATTAAATGTATTACTGCAATAATAATAAAACATAATTTATTAATACTAAATATACTGAATATTATATTATTCGGTATAATAAGTAATTTATTAATAAATAAACATAATAAATATTTAATTTACTATAATTAATTTATTGTGTTTTGGTAATTTATTATTGTTATTACTTTTTGTAAAGGAATGAAATTAAGAATTTGGTGAAAAGGCAGCTGTCAGTTGCAGGTGTTACATCAAAATCAAATTTCTTCTCTAATTTGTTACCACCCTTAATTTAGAGGAATTCCTTGGATACAAGGGATTTTTATTATTGCTTTTGTCCAGTTTCTGAAAGCTTATCTGTGTCTCCCATAGGCAGTTGCTAGAGAATAATAAAGAACATTTATTTATAGGATGAGTTTCAATGTAGATGAAAAATCTGTAGCCTGTTATTAACTCCTACCTCTTATCTTTCATAACAAATTGGCTATTGAGAATTTCT